CTCTCTCTCTCTCTCTCTCTCTCTCTCAAACTATTTTCTCCTCTTTGGTTTGTTTTCATCGTTGCATCCTCTGGGCTTCCACGGCTTTTAGTTGGTTGATTTCCCTGCCCTCAGCGCAGCGTTTATCCTGGCATCTGATACCATTCATCCTGCTTGTTCAAAGCCTTTAGTGGCAGCAGAGTGATCCAGTTGAAGGACTGATGGTCAGATTTACAGCTTAACGTCCTGAGCTTCCCTTTTCCTCCATCCAGAGGGAACCGAAAAAAAAGACTGAAGACGCCTCCTCTTGCAATGGATTTGTTTTTTATTGCCTTCAAGGCTATTTCAGCTTAATACAATTGCCTTCACCCTTTCCCCTTGGCCAAAGACATGCTATTCATTTCTTACCTAAAACCTTAAGCTGCTACATTTAGCCATTCAAGAGGTTCCCAATGGCTCCCTTGAGCCCTCTGCAAATCTGATGCTTTGGTATTACGTGGGCACTGTATCGCTGAGGTACAGTTACTTATCTTATCCAATAGTCTCGCTGCTCTGAATGAGTCAAACAAGATTTTTCCTTAAAAGAAAACTACATAAGCCACTGTCTAATTGTGAATTAAGTGAAAACAATTCCTAAAAACGTTGATGACTGCATCTTAGCCAAAACATCATGTACATCACCATCAAAGAGTCTTTCTATGTGGCGTTTGTTTCATCCCCAGAGATGCTTGTTGTCTTGTTCTTGCAGAATTCTGTCCAACGCAGCAAAAGAAATATCCTCAAAGTGTCCATTAAGTCGTTGCAGTTCAAGCATGACAATATTCTCACCAAAACATTAAATTACCACAAGACAGCGGCAACCTCAAACATCTCATTTGTTCCCCAGAGGTTTCACAAACTGGTTTTACAGCTGTATTGATCAATATGCTCCAAATGAAAAAAGCCACTTTGTGCAAGAGGTAAGCTTATAAATATGATAAACACATTTATAAGGGAGTTAATTTGTTCAGGGCTGTATGTAAGGCAGCTTATTTTGAGGTTCCTCTGGTTTATTCACTCCATGCATACATAATTATAAGTGGCAACTATTGCTACACTGGGCATCTGTATTTGCATTTACTGTATGACACAGATATACGCCACATACTCCGCCTACCATCATACCTGAAATGGCAAAAAAAAAAAAAAAATCAAATTTAATTACTACAATATAATCACTACCAATTTAATTATGGTAGTGAAATTGTGATGGCTTTTCCCTTCCCCCCCCTCCTCCTCCTACTGAAGCTTGTTTCATGGTGATAGAAAGAGAAACAGATTCACAATATCTCTGGCAGCACACCTTTGCAGACCAATCTCTGTCGGGCGAATGTGCAGCCAGACAGTCTGCAGGACTCACCGAGCAGATCTAACAATAGACACAGGAAAGCAGTTCTCCTCGCTCCCCACTGATCAGCCTTCAATCCATTTATTGACCCTCCATCTTTAATCTACTACGACCTCCTCCTCGCCACTCCCGCTCACGCCTTCTGACCCATAAACCCGGCACGTGTGGCCAACACAGAAAGCCAAGTCATGCCTGAATGCTGCCGTGGTCTTATTCCACAAACATGGTGGGTTTTCAGATGACTAGCAGGATTAAACTCAAGAAAATATTTGGAATATTTTGATGTAATAAATGACCTCCATGCTGGTGCACCGTGTCATTAGTCACAGCATCATAAAAAGCTCTATAATGGTAATTATTCTAAATAAAGCACTTCACAGGTCAGCGGTTATGTTCTATGCTGCCCTCAGATTTTAAAAAGAAAGACACAATCAAAGCCTGACTGTACTCAATCACCTCTTGTCTCGAAATTATTATAATTTATGGTTCTAGAAAAACCTATTCTTTCGCAGCTCGGCTCCTTTTTTTGGACACATTTTAGTCAGGTTTCACAGCAGTATTGAGTCAGCTCTCCTCTGGGTGACAAATGATTCATTGGTGTCTTTGGATTCTGAAAATCATGCATTTTTAATCCAGTTGGACTTTTGACAGGATTGATTGTTCCTTTCTATCAGATTGTCTCGGCCGTGTTGTGCAAGGCTTCGGGCTTTTGCAGGTATTTGCTTCTTTACCAACAAGACTAAGCAGTTAAGGAACAGACTGATGACTTTTGTTTTCCTCTCCGTCTATCTTGTTGTGGTGTACCACAGGGTTTTATTTTAGAGCCTAATTTGTTCTTATTCTGGTCACACTGAGAATATACAGATGTATGAAATCTGCTGAGGTTCTAAAGCTCCTCTTCACTGTCCAGATGGCTTCAAAAGCAGCAAAAAACTTTCATTGGTTTCTTTTTCCATCTCAGGACTAATGACAAACTAAAATGCTCTCTCTCTCGTTTAAAGCCCAGGAAACTTTACCTATTGAATACTGTAACTCACTGAGTGTAGGAGTCAGTCAGACGCATGTGACACCGAGGCTCCTCAAGAAGAAAGACCTCCATACATCCTTTTACTTAAGTCCCATAATTGGCTACCAACTCAGTTAAAGAAAAATAAAAGAACGAGAGAGAAAAAGCTACGATTCTTTTCCTTGTTCATAAAGCCCTGCATTGAGGCACCAGTCTACTGACTCCAGACTCTGACTCAGATCTTTCAACCAACATGTTCAATCCATTCTGAACTCCCAGTAGTAATCCAAGAGCGATGGAGCATTTCGAATCGCTGAGTGGCAGGTCTTCCTCCCGCTGTCGGGTATTTTTCCTCATGCTTTCGAATAACACACGCATTCATTATACCTTGTTTAGGCGCCTCACCATTACTGTCACCGCCTCGGTGATGGACTGAGGTGATTATCCTTTGGTCTATTAACCTCTTAACCTTTTGAAACGGCCATTTGAAAATTAATCTTCCTCCTCCTGCACTGGCTGCACAAACAATCAAAGGAGTAACAAAACAAAAAAAACAGACATACCAACTAACCATTTAATCATTCAGTAGTTTCTGACAGAAGTGAAAACCCATAATCAGCATCCTGTGTAGTGAAGCTTATACACTGGTGGTGTGATAAGATTGGCAGGCAGATCTAAGTCAAACAGCAACACCACATATGGCAAGCGAATACAATCTGTCTACAGCAGCTCTTTTATCTGCCAAACACATGTGCTGCTTTGAGAATCTAAAATGTGTTATAGTCACATACAGTATTTTCCAAGTCATTTGGTTGCATTAGCTCACCAGTTACTCGGAGCATGACAAATGGATGCCATTAAATCATTAAAAACCCTGATACTAATTAAGTCCCACTGTCACCACAATACCTTAAAAGAAATGCCTTGCTAATTATACAGGAGGTTGTGTACAATAATAAATACTATACAGCTGCTGGCAACACAGACACGGTGAGGTTTCTGGCAACAGCAGACTGCCAAGGCATCAGATTACCTCACAGAGCAGAGTACTACTTTGGCCTGGATCACTCAGGCTGTGTGTGGTGGGGAATTGTTTTCTCATAAATAAATACATCACTTAGTTAGAGGCAACAGCAGTTGTAAGGTCGAGGATTCTACAGCAGCACTTTCCAGCAACATACTGAAAACACGGCTCCTCTAACTAAGAGAAGAGATGAAAACTTGTGGAGAAGATGAGACTGTCTCTTCTGTTTCTTGTCTGTCCCAGTTTTATTCCTGTTTAAACAAAGGCCTTACAGTGCTGTATTCTAAGACAAGACAAAAGAACGTGATACTGCACAGACTTTTGAAATAAATCAGACATGCATCCCAATAAGAACACACGCTTGTTGCTAAAATAAGCTCTGATAAAATCCAGTGGATTTAGGGATATATCTTGGGTAAACATTACACCAAATGTGTGAAGACAAACACAGAAAAAAAAGTCCAAAGATTTGGTGGCTGTTTACAGAATCTGTATGCAAATGGAGGATGGAGCAGCTGGGCTGCAGGCAGCAGGAACCAATAAGAAATAATGATAGTTAATTAAATGGGACAGAGCATGTTCCCATGCTGCCTTGGTGTGGATGAACTGTGGTTTAACACAGCAAATTCCATGTGATTCAGCAAAATACATGCATGAGGTAATGCGTGGCGTGCTATTTCTGTCTGCAGATGGCATTTGATTAAATCTGCGATGAACTGCATGCGTAAAGGTAAGAGTTGTGGTCAGAGTTGATAATGTGCCCTGAGCCATATGTATGTGAAATACCATCACACACACACACAGACCTAAACACAGCAGGTATTAGTAGTTCAGCAAGAAAGATGGACAGAGGGGAAGAGTGAGATTCACAAAGGATGAGAAAATTTAAAAAAAAAAAAAAAAAAAAGAAAAGAAAAGAATGAAAGCTCCTTGTGTGGAGGTGTGATAACCACCAGGCAGCAGATAAGGAATTAACTGGCTGCTATTAAGCTGTTCCATCAGTCAGATCAGCGGTACAACCATCATTTCCAATTTGAGGGGAGTTAAAGGGAACCTGCATTGATTGGCTAAAGGTGCAACAGCTCATTTTCTATGGGCAGCTCTGTGCTGATCAGAGTGCGCAGACTGAACCATCCCACTCGTCGTCTCCCTGTGGCCACCACCCCAGCACGCCTCAAGTCATGCACTAAACAGAGCAGCGTGCTTCTCACTATTCTGAACCTGCAGCGTGGCTCTTTACTGTCTTTTGTTACCTTCTGGTGATTCTCATGGTGTGGTGGAGGGAAACCATCAATCATCTGATTGTAACCTTCAGGCAGCGGACCAGAGCGCGAGCGGGCTGAACTGTTCACAATCAATGGCACTTCTCTTGTTGCGCAACAGGTTCGGCTTTGTTTTAACGAGGTGCAGCCAAAGTAACGGGCGTTTCTTTTTTCTTTAACAGGTTGGATTGAATGCAAAGTAAAACATCAAAAGTTTGCAAAGCAGTTAAATATCTACAGTGGTCAAACTCCCCCCTCCCAAAAAAGAAATCCGTGCGTTTCTCATCCATCAGAACAGCTGCATGCCGTGCGCGCAGATATCAAAGGAGAAGGAACACCTACCGGGGATCGCCAGGTTGGTGAGCGGGATGGTGTGCATGCTCTGCGGTAAACTTGCCATCCAGTCGGCGAACCGCAGGTCGCTTCTCCCGTGAGACGAAGCCATGCTGCCTGCCACCTTGCACACAACGCTCCGTTCTCCCGGACCGGTGCCTGCGCCAACCTGGAGTGCGCTCTATCCCCCCTTTTCTCGCCACGCACAGACAGACACAATCACACACACACTCTCTCTCTCTCTCTTTCTCTCTCTCGCCCTGCCTCACTTTCTCTCTCTCACACACACCGAGAGTCGGTCCACACCCCCCTTGAGCTGCACACAACAGCGGGTAGCACAATTATGAAAATGCGGTTGGACGGATCCAAATATGGCAACAATCGGCGGTGTGACGCGCAGATATGTGCAGCCTGGTAATAATGACACTGCACATGTTTCACTTAGACAGCCACCTTTGAAATAACAGCAACATATAGCCGCATGAACAATTCCAGCTGTCAGTTACACAGAACGAGGCTAGACTACACCAAATCCACGCTTTTTTTTCTTTTTTCTCATAAGGCGCCCAGAACACCCACCACTTGATGGCTGCGTGTTAAACATTAAAAAAAAAAAAGCTATTTCAGAACAATGCAGTTGGATAGTCTATTGTACATCAAAGGTCTTACCAAGCTGATGCCATCATGCAAGTTGCATCTTTATGGATCATTTTGTGAATTTCCAGCACTCACTTCAGGGCGCCATTATCTGAAATAGGTTCATTTTATTGTATTTCTACGCAGAAATTACGCTAAAAGAAGGCAAAGAGCGAGTAAAATCTATTTCCCAGCAGACTTCAAAGCCTGATGTCTGAGGTCATGTACTTGAATGAGTGAGAGCCATATGGAAGTGATTCATTATAGCTGCAATTAATATGTCAATGACAAAGACTAACTGCCATTTCCAGTGAGGTGATAATCAGCTTGCTGGCCACCTTCACATGAGTCATTCCGGAAACAGGTCACGATGGCATAAAGATGGAGAATATACAAAAAAAACCCTGCATGTTTTTTCAAGGTATGCCTGAACAGTACAGAGATCTTGTTGTTTTTACTCAAGATGGCAAACTATCCATGCATGACTTGTTAATGTCCTTTTCCCATTTGGTCGTGCTTGGAAGGGCTGATCATGTTAACCCACAGTGACACCACACAATCAATACCGACATAACTGCCCCGCATAATTAGAAATCACTCTCCCTGTACATCTATAGGGCTGCTGAATGATATGCTCTGTGCACATATATGCTGGATATTATCACCAATTACCTTTGTTTCAAGCTGAATGCAGTGTTCATACATTATCAGCAGACTAATGATAAACACCGTGGAGGAAAAGGGATAACTGGACTGCAAAGCTGAAAATGCAAAGGATTATAAATTAGCCAAACATATGGGTCTGGTTGGTTTGTTAAAGCCCTCGTGTATGTATGATGTGCAAGCAGCAGTTTTCTCAAACCTCAGCATCCAGATTGTCACTATGCACACTCACGGTGTTCCGTTTTTTAATTTGTCATTTCAAAAAACCCCAAAAACATTCAGCTCATGCACCTCTTATGTTCAAACACTTGTGCCCTGGTCATGTTCCTGAAATTCTCTCCTCACCGCACTCAAGCATGAGAAATAGGTTAGTAAATGTAGGCTTATGGGGTACAACTGTGCTGTGACTCATAAAGGGATGTGCTGGATTAACATCATCAGCCGGTGGCAACAACCCCTGTCACTTTATTCCATTTTTCTGCTTGATGATCCAGCCCAGTTGATCTCCCTGAACCCAGAAGCCCTCCGGCTGAATCCTGCAGTTATATAATAGCCCTCAGGTAATGGCAGCGCCTCTCTACTCGAGTGGAGAAATCACATCAAGAATGTCAATCTAAACCCACCATCCGTATTTAGAGAGCTCTAACCTGTAGCGTGCCACAGACCATTACTCTCAAAGCAGCCATTTGTTTTAAAGCACATGAATTGAATAATATTGTTGGATTTGCGTTTCTTCTTCTTATCCAGAAAGCATAACATTTAAACAAAAGAGACGATAAAAATCCCACTTGTTTCACTCTGCACTCTGTTTTATTGTATGTACAAAAGCAGAAGAACAGCAAGAGTTAGAAAACTGTTAAGGCTTGATGTTTCCAGCTGAGCTTAACCGATATCAGAGGTTTAGAGAATGAGAGGCAGGCTGACCTTTTGGCAGAAGTGATTATTACAAACATATCTCGGTTAGATCCATGCTACTGGATCTCCTTTGTTTTGGAAGTGAGGAAAAGCAAAATGATATCTTACAATGGCTCCATAATGTAAAGAACTTTTTTTTTTTTTTGTTATGGGTGCAGCACGAATCTAAACAACCACACACAATGTTCCTTACAAATGAGGAAATTACTTGACCTAGAGTACAGCTGTGTCCTATATTTATTACATTTAGGTTGTACCTTATTACAGTAACTTGCTAATCTTACAGTAAATGTGATTCAGGAGAGTTATAGTATCATTTCTGCTCAAAAAAAACAAGTAAAGTTGCATTTTTCCTGGAAGACATACAGAGAATACAGCCACTTTTAATGCATTCAACCTGATTGTTTGGTAATTGCACGCAAATATAGGTAAAAATTCATAACTTAATGGTGTGATAGGCAACAAGGTAATGTTCCCTAATGGTTTGTCAGACTAGACCACAAACAGAACTACGCATGCCGGCTCTGATGAGTCCCCATTCAGTTGATATTACTGAGAACTAAATCCCTCTGATATTTGCATACTGATTACCAGGGAACTGAGGCATTTGTGTTTGGTTAATTGACCCATCTTAGCCTGTTAAATCACCAGCTGTTTATCACTGCGAAATGAAGCGACACAAACCGAAAACACATCTCAGAGTCACTAGGAGCTCCTTCAGATCTGCTGCATGGGCCTCAGGTTGGGAGACACCTAGAAGACGCCAGATGGGAGACGAGGACAAGAGAAAAGTACGACGGTTATCAAAGTTGAAGATAAAAAAAAAAACTTTTATTTCTGTGCTGGTAGCCAAACTGTTCCATTACTCACCTCGAAATCTGTGCCAGTACATGCCTTGATATCCTCAGGAGTAAGCCCCTCCCAGATTTCTATCAGAGTCAGGCCTTTTGTCTTATCCACATCAAACACAGCCTGGTGGAAAGAAAGAGGACAGAAACGAGGGAGGGGATGTAGGCAGAGAGGGAAAGGAGAGAAAAAAAAAGATGTTTAGAGGGAGAGAGACGGGGGTGGGCGATGAGGCACAGAGACAAAACGGTGAGAATGAGTATTTCTGTATTAGACAAGTTTGAGCCCTGTGGTGTGTGTGGTCACCGGGGTCACAGATGAGGATGTGGGGGCCTGGGCTATCAAAGCAACCAAAAAGAGACAACAACCCCCCCAAAAAACATCAGCGCCACAAGCAAAAGAGCCAGAGTACCACTTCAATGTCATCCATGCACAAGATGACAAAAAAAAAAGCTGCAATTATTGGTGACACATCCAGGAAAGGCCTCCGAGTGGTTGGACTGCTGGCAAAGTAGGCAGCGATTATATTTGAATTGTTGCACTGCGTTTAACAGTTTAAACATAAAAGACAATCAATATAATTGTGATCGGAAATGTGAAAGCTCAGCTTTAGTACTGAATAATTCGAGCTGAAGGTCTGAACTCAACAGGTCTTGACCCAAAACCCGTGCTGATGCAGCACAAGGGAGACAGTGCTGAAGAAAAAGAAATTGACATCTTGTAAAAAAAAATATTCCACTCCATATGTAAATTCCTCTAACCTTTAGAAAAGACTGTTCACTTCAGATAAAACAAGCTCCAGTTTACAACAACCTCAACTAAAACTCTAAACCATCATTGTATTGTTGTACTGCAATATCATCAGGGATAGTGACGCACATCATTCACCGCCACCGCTGACTTGTGATGGTTAAAAAGGAATTGTGGGGCGCCGCTATAGCTCACCTGGTTGAGCTGGCATCCCATGTACAGGGGCTATAGTCCCTGACGTTGAGGTCATGGGCTTGAATCCCGCTCATGGCCCTTTCCGCAGGTCCTTCCCCCCATTCTTCTCCCCTACTTTCCTGTCTCTCTCTCAACTGCACTCTCAAATAAAGACCAAAAAAATAACTTAAAAAAAAAAAGGCATTGTGACTTTTTGTGTTCATCTCTTTACCTGTGATCACGTTAGTCGAGAGACAGAGGATTATGCATGTGCACTGTGAGGAGCTATGAATATGTACAAAAGCACAGGGGGAGTTGCTAATTCTGATGCTCGCCTTAAATGCATTTAGTTTTCTACATGTTCATGAATAAAGCCACTGGAGGATTTCAGCATCTCTGACTGGAATGAAATACAGCACATGGCCGAAGGCATCAGCCCAGTAAAGGAGGATCCATGGTGGTACCTTCTTGTAATTAACCATGTAGAATGTTGCCAAACTTTCCACTCACACTAAAAGACAAAGAATCTGAAAACTTTATCTGAAGAACAAACTAAGCTATATTTTGTCTTCTCAAAAGCAGCAACAAAAAAAGAGAATCAATATGACACACTGTGCTTATAGAGTCTCCTCAGGCAGCAGACCTGCTATTACCTCTTTGATCCTTCTTTTATGAGCCCAAGTAATTCTGTTCATTCTATTTGCAATTTCTGTGTTTACAGCATCAGATTAATATGGTTTGTTCAGTCCAAAGTGTAATCGTGTCTCAAAAACACTTTGGTTTTGGCTTGGATTCTCTCCTTGCTTGGATCCTTTTACATTTAGTGGTAATTATCCTCGATACTGTAATTTTCTGTTGATGGTCTTTCTCCACTTTGCTTGCTTAAAGACTGGGATGGTTTTCAGCACAAACATGACCCGTGTCTCCGTCTCCACAACACAACACAGACACAGGGCAGAAAAGAAAACCTTCACTTCTTCATTTTTACATTTTAAACCCATTTAGCTATTTTTTCTCAAGTGCTATTTTCTTTACTAATCTGGAGTCACACAAATGACAAAGCAGTACAACCTTCAAAAACACATTATTTATAATCTAGTGCTTGAAAAGTAATGTTTAGCCAGGGGGATTTAAAAGCTGGACAAGCTTTCTGCGTTGAGTTCTGATGATTCTGAGGTGTTTACTGCAAGATATTCTTACTATTCATTAAGACTATAATGAAATCGGGCCGTCGTTTTAGCTCACCTGGTTGAGCTGCCGACCCATGTACAGGGGCTATAGTCTCCGATGCAGCAGTCATGAGTCAAAACCCCCCCAAGGCCCCTTGCCGCAAACCCCTTGCCCAATCCCCCCCCCCCACTTTCCTGTCTCTCTTTCAACTGTCCTATCTAATAAAGGCAAAAAGGCCAAAAAAATAAGAATATAATGAGATTATGTCTGAGATTTAGAGGGACAGGGACACTGTTAAAGTCGCTGTTTCAATTTGTTTGTGACAATAATATCTATTAACAGATGGCAGCAGGTCTGACATGATAAATTACCTCGAGGTTGTTTTTGTACAGCTCATATAATAACAATTCAAAACTAAATTTAGTGCAATGGCATTATCCATATTTATGCAAACAATGCAAAAATGCTTTATAAAGACAGGCCAGGAAAGCTCATCCAAGCTGGGCCCTGTTGCTTCTCTCAGCAGGGACTGACTGGCTAAGCCACAGTCACATCCAGGCAAAGCCTGTCAGGATTCTCAGCTCATTAGAATCATACACACAGTGACAGGGCAGGAGGCGGATATCTCACTCCAATATAGCAAGACAGATGGAATGTCACAAGGAACAAGGGTCTATGGATAACACAGACACTGGCATGCATCTCTAATCGTGACACGTGTCACAAGTGATTAAGGGAAATTACAGATTTGCAAAAATGTGCCAGAGGTGGTTGATTTAGATGCAAGCAGTGTGCAGTTATGTTGGATGGTGCAGTATGTCAATGTCATACTCACAGTTGGACTCTGCTTTATCATGCAGAGGACCATGACACATAATGGTCTAGGTAAGCACATTACAAAACTATTAACCATCAGCTGACCTCATTTCTAATACCCACACTTCACTAATGAAAAACAAGCTATGCCTGCATCTACAAAGCGGCCTTTTGTTGTCAAACTGTTGAGTCACCTTTCTTCACAGTCTTCAAAGCCACCACCGTCATTAACCAGATTGACGCCAGTTAGTCATTAAGGAGCTGGTAGTCTACCCCATGTGTTGTCTGGCAAGATGTGGGCTGGATGTCACGTAACAACAAAAAGCCACCATTTCTCAGCCAGCTTAATGCTTTAGACAAATGTGAATACAAGAAAGAGATAGGAGCAGAAATTAGCACGTAACCCCTCCAACAAATAAACAAGCCCATCCAGGATCCTGTCGATGTATTCCAGCAATTACAAGGAGCACGTTTTGAGATGTGTTCAGACAAAAGCTCACAGTAGGACCATAAAAGAATTTCAATTTGGTTGCTCGAGTAATAATTGGTGTTATTGGCATTGCTGTCATTATGGAAAATACCAAAGGTAGCGCTTTTCTGGGACCATTATGATTGACTGAATAATTCAGGAGTCATTCTGCTTCATCTGTGCATGAAGGGGAAACGATTTTCTTTAACTTTTTTTTATTTTTTAAAATACAAAAATCAATCCGTAAATAGTTGCTTAGAGGAGAAACAAAAGCAGACAGTTTGCGTGTGAAGACCTTTGTAACGGCATCAACTCAGGCAACGAGGGGCGCAGAGATGATGTGATTTACTAGCTGCACAAATGACAACACGCATTTATATGTGCATGTGGTGATTCCGTCGTATACAGGAGCAGCAGAGTCAACAGCCTGAGGTAACAGGTTTCCCACCACCCGGAATCTGATTTCACAACAACACTATTTAGGACACCTGGATCACCGTCCCTCCTGGCCATCGGGAGCCAAGGAGGATGTTGCGTTTGTGACAATATATTGCACGTGTCAGCATCTGTTTCTGTGTGGACACAAAAACGTACTTTCTGGAAGGTCCCAGTTTCTGCCTTTATTGTAGATGTGGAGCAGTGATTTTAATCATGTAATGATAGCAACCGGTGGAGGATAACCATTAACAGGTGTATTAAAGGTAGTGTTTGTCACTCGGTTTACACAAGGTGAAGCTATTAAACAGTGAGAATAATGCTGTAATGCAGTTTTGTTTAGCTCAATTGTAATTAAATCATTTGCACATAATCAAGCAGACTGAACCTTTCAGAGGTTGTTAATGCGTTCCACTTGGTCATGTGGTTCCGTGCATGTGCCGCGCTGTGGTGCGACTTACGTAAGTCCAGTCTTGTTATTGAATAGCTGCACCTTGTGTACCCTCATTTTCTACTGCTGGGAGTTACGTCTGGTAAACACTATCATGATCATTTTCTCACAGCCCACATGCAGTTTCATACAGTACTACTGGCTAATATAGAAGAAAAAGCCCCGGTGTTGTGCTGCTTGGCTGCCTTGTTATTCATCTATTCATAAACTGCCTGAACAATAATACAACTGTAGATACTGAACAGGTGTTGAGGCCAATTCATGCTTGTCGTCCTTGTCACAGTGTGCGCAAGAGTCCACAAAGATCCACAAGGCTCCACAGAGGTATGGGTAACATAAATTTTGTCATTCAAGTCCGTGAAGTTATGCAGACCCCTCTGCAGACGTTTGCATCCAAAAACCCAGAAAGACAAATGGTTCTAAAAATAAAAGCTTGTTTTGAGAAGAAACGGCACACATCCGCTTCTCCACATCCACACCTTTATAATCAATCTTTAAAGGAGTTGTAAGTCACTTTTGGACTTTGGAGATGCTTTGACTTGTTTTCCATTGACGGGAAACTCTAATTTCTCCAGAAATCCTGCGTGATGTACATCCACTGTGCTGCCATGTCTTAGGAATAATTACATTGATACAGCCAACTCTGTAACGAGCTGCTATATTCTGTATAAAGTGCAAAGCTACAGCCAGTTGTTCCGAAACATCCACGAAACCCTGGGCAATGAAAGACTGGGCAATGAAAGACTGGGCAGTGAAAGACTGGCCAATGAAAGACTGGCCAATGAAAGACTGGGCAATGAAAGACTGGCCAATGCGACAGTCTTGAAAAGAGGTTTTTCTCTCCAGTGTTGTCACGGAAAGAAATGGCTGCAGACCAGACTATTGTTGTACTTTTATATGCAATACTGATGAAATAATACATCAAGGACTCAAATAACCTGTCATAAGGGAGTTATATCACATTGTAAATTACACTAGGAATAAGAAATAACTTCTTCTCATGATCATGTCCTTCCATTGCTCGCTGTACATTTGGCTTATTTAGATTTGTGTTTTCTAGTCTGCATTCATTCATTCATGTTTCAGCTGGCATTTGACTATCAGTTGAAGAGGAGAGTGCAAACATACATTTAAAAAAATAATAAAATCTTACAAATATATTGCTCTTAATGTGTTAATTCCTACATTTCTCTAGTCGAGCTGTGCCACACACTCACACACCAAACATATTCAACAGGTAAGGTTCACTACTTGTTGAATGAAAACAGTTCATTTTGTAATAACTATGCATACTCAACATATTGATTATATTAAAAATAACTGCTGATACAAAGTGTAATGTTTGTTTTGCTCGTGCAAAAAAAGGAAAAAAAAGAGCTTTTACAACCACAGCAATCTTCATCAAATATGTAGTGGGGAAAAAAAAAAAACATAACTCTCAACTTTAAACTCATGACGACAGCTTTCTGTACAACAAGGAGTTGGAGGGCCCCCTTGGGACAAATAATAGGGTGTAAATTGTTTATTGATCAACTTTGACCAGTCAATAAACACATAGCTTATATAGATTTAATGTAGTCTGGAGTCTAGGGGATGCTTACATTGCCTCAAAGTCACAATATCCTTAAAACACTGTGTTTCTCAAACAGCTTGTGTAGATCTGTAGCTGCTGTTTGCCCACAAAACAATAAAGGGTGAAAGATGACTTTTAGCTATCCTTGTGTTACAGTAGGTGACCTACTTTTAGCGTGACAAACTTTGCTCAGATGCAATATTAGAGGGATGGAATGTCAGTGTTGAGAAATGTCAAAAAAGGAGGCCTGAGGAAAACACAGAGCACAGACTGAGACCGTATCCACGACATAATCTCATGAATGTGGATTCAAACAACCCAGACTGATTTTTTTTTTCCTTCTTGTCTGTCTGAAAACGACACAACAATGCAGACAACTATTCACTCCCACAGAGCAGCTTCAGGTCTCTTCTTCACATATATACATGTTTAATAGAAACACTAAGTGAGCATATTAGTCACTATTTGCAAGTCAGTAGGGATGAATGTTTTGTCTTTCAATGAAGTGGAATACAGTTGACCTAGCTTTTCACTTCTGTCTGTGGATGACAAATGCACTTCACAAGTAGAAAAATCATAATTCGATTGATCGTCTCGATGCTCCCGGCTTACCAAGCAGACAATAATTCCTGAGGTGCTGCACTGATACCCCCCATTCAAATCACTATTTTATTCTTGTGCTGCTTGACAACAGAAGCAGAGGAAGATGTTATTGTTGCGGGGTATATTGATTTTCAAAACAAGCAATCACAGCGGCGAGTGGAGGTGACAAAAAATTGGCTTCCTAACACTGCCGCCGGGTATAAGCACTCTTGCAATATCTGAGAAGATGACAGGCTGACAGTCACTCGACAGCATTTCTGAAAAGTTCAGTTTTTCTCCGTCCAAACTACAAAGAGAGACGGGCATCGTCAACGGAAGAGTGTTATGAGAATGACAACGTTTTGGGACAGACAACGCCGGGGTGAGTGTGAATGGGAGGCCAAATGGAGAGAATGTAATATTTTCAAATTTATTCAAAGCACAACAGACATGGTATCAGAAGAATAGAGGAGGAGGAGGGATGTGGAGGCAAGCAAGGACAAATAAATAGGAGAATATATATTGATAGAGATGAAAGGAAATGAGAAAAGAGGTCATTAATTAAAAGCCATTATAAAGAAAAGGAAAAAAAAAAGAAAAGAAGCTGGGCATGTAGGAGAAGGCAGTACTGATGGAGAGAGAGAAAAACCAATCAGCAGAAGTTGGTGAAGAGGAGGAGGTGGTACCGCTGCTTGCTGGGCAGTAGAGAGAGCTTTAACCTTTATAAATGTTGACAGAAATCTGCTTGCTGAGAAATGTTGCGCAACCACAACAAAAGCCAGTGGAGCAGAAAAGAACAGGTCATGTTTTCAATGAGCAAGTTCCAAAGGCAGCAGCCACCACCAGGGTAACAGGGAACTGGACACACAAACTGCAACAGCACCAAGATCTACAAGCTACTGGAGCCTCTCCCTGGGCTTTTTTTTTTCTCCTTCCAGTACCACCCCCACACTTCTTTTTCCCAGTCAGTCAGTATTTACAGTATAGCTGCTCATTCTTCACACCTGTATTCTTCTACCTTCTATCCTATACCTTCGCTTTTTTTTGAATTTTTATTTTATAATCAGGGTCACATCCATAAGCTTAGCACAGGTTTTATATCTGTCCATCACAACCAGAACATAAATTATAGGGATCCAAGCACAAACAAAACTCTTTACCCATAAATGATGAAGATACCCGTGGGCGCCATCTTGAAAATGTAAAATGGGAACGAACGTCGTCACCTGTCAGCCCTTAGGCATGGTCTCCAACTCTCATGCAACCATGAAAAAATGTGTAAAAAAACAACTACTTTATAACATCCAGAGTCTCAAGATCAACCTTGTCCATCTCTGCCACTCCACAATGTACTTCTACAGCACAGTGATTTCCACAAAAGCAAGGAATTACAGCAAAAAACGCCAAAGGCTTTCCTCCTGCAGGTTGATGGACACAAATAGTCTCTTTGGTAATCACCGTAACAAGTGCACATGACCTCAACCTCCCTTGATAGGCAAGAAAAAGGCTTTCACAGGTGGAATTTGAAGCCCCTTTGGACAAGAGCCTCAGGCAACCTTACTGCACATTTGGATTTACAGGGTGTGCCTCACTTTTCATCACAGTGCAAAGTACAAAACATACAGTTTAGATGTGACTGCAATCAAGCAGTCACTGCTAATCATGGACAGAGTTCCTGATCAGCTGAGCACTAACAGTGTCACAAGCAGGGCCGTGGGGCGGGGGCGAGACTATCAAGAAAATACATAATAAAGGAAAACCCAGCCCCAATCATGGAAATTAGAAAAACATAACAAAGTCAATATGCAGCCTGCTTACAGACATGAAGGGATTGAATTAGTGTTAAATGAATAAATGTGATTTCCATCATTTACCGGCGTCACTCTGTTGCATCATATCAATCGATCAGTTGGCTTGTGTGTGCGTGTTTTTTAATAAGTGTGTGTGAGAGAGAGAGAGAGAGAGAGAGAAAGAGAGAGAGAGAGAGAAAAATGGAAAAGGAAAAAAAAAAAAAAACAAAAAAAAAACAACTTGTGACTTGTGCTTCATTGGATTCATGGTTTCTGTGGTTGACCCACACACACAGACCCCCAACAATCTGAATGGGATATTATGTCGGCTATAACTGGGTGTCCTTACCTGTGTATTTGGTGGATTAATATTTCACATCATTGCCATTTATCAAAGTCACTGAATTAACCTACGTAAGTGATGAGTATCCCCTCATATGCACAGCATGTCCCAAAAGTTTAATTGTTAAAATAACACCAAATTGTATATCATCCTCTAACATTCGCCAACTGCAGGTCTCTCACATGGTACGAGTCCTGCTCAGTCATAGCTTACTCACTGGCACCGTTTATGTAGCAAACACGAGCAAGCAGTCCAAGTTTATGACTAACGGCTCATCCACCCATTCATGCATGCGTGTATACATCCAATTCTGTTTAAATTTAGGTTGATGAATGCATATATCATGTAAACAAGCAAAATGCACCTTTTCTGTGATGATCCGGTCCACGCACTGTTTCCCTGTCAAAGGCAGCTTGCATTTGTCCAAGATCTTGTGCTTTCCCCCCTGTAAGAAATAAGGTAGCTGGTTAAACGAAAGGCCAGTGTTTCTGTAAAGTCTGTAAGTCGTTTCAAACTGTGTGTTAATTCTTTCATGGATGCAGCTTATGTTGTAAGATATTGCAGCTGGTTGCGTACACTCATTCTAAAGGATATATAGCATGTATTTCATGCGACTGTGTTGCAGTTTTGCCTGTGGCAATCTTTAAGAAAAAAAGCCCACATCTCAACGCATGTCTGAGAAGTATACATCATACATCAACCCCACCCTCCCCTTCATGAATGAAAACAGGCTTCAGGGCAGTAAATTTATGCTCACCTGCTGCACCATCTGGACGATAGCTGGGCGCCAGACAGAGAGCCATTAGCAAAAAACAGCATGCTTTTATGAATGCAGAACGTTACGCTGCCCTTGCATCACATTGGTCTGGACTTTCTAAAAGTAAACCAATTCAGTTGAATTGCTGACTGCTATTGTGAGAAACCCCGTGGGGTTATTCATCTCTCGCCGCACAGGTGCCAGTCTAACTAATCAGTTCTTCCCGTAACACCAAGTCCAATTCTAGAGTTGTATTTAAATGAGCTGAAGACGAGCGAACAGGAAATGTTTTGTGTGCTGAATCTCATCAGGATGAGCCAGCGCTCTCTGGTAAAGAGGCATTAAGCAATCCATTAACAAAATTATCCTTAAGCAGCCATAACACTCACACTCATTATCGTAGGAAGCAGATACAAAGTACGCTGCTGAATGTACTATTGTGAGAAAAGAAAACTGCCACTTAGATTTGGACTTCTAAGGAAAGGAATGAGTCTTTTGGGGTGATTTACAAAGGCAACGTTAGTTAGAACAACGATGGGAAAAGCATGAAAGCATGTGTACACACCTTGGCTGAGTGCTCCATGGTGACCACCACCTTGGTTCCAGCGCTAGCCACCAGATCCATGGCTCCTCCCATTCCCTTGACCATCTTACCCTAAGAGAAGAGGACAACAACAGATTTTGGTTTCAGTGATCTCATTTATTTAGGGTAGACAAGAAGCACCAATCCAATCCAAACCCAACATTACTTATGGCTCTAAAATTTACCATAAAGTTCATTGCAAAGCACACGAAATGAGGGTGAACAAAGGCAGTCATGTGGATTGCTGGAAAGAAATGACAGCAATACAGCTTCTTCCTCTATTCAGGCAGATTCCTCAAAACCAAATTCTCCTCCATTGAAAATTCAGAAAAGTTTACAAATCTGCTTTGTGTCTTTTGTTCAAGTATATCTTCAAATGCTTTGTGCTCAGTGAAGCCTAATTTTATCCCCGCACCTGTAAGAGCCCTGAAAGTACTGAGACAGAGAACAGGAGGAAGGGATTAGAGCGGATCTATAGCATTAGAAAAAAATATGGTTACAGTGGCAGCACCACAGGTTTGCTAATTAGTGCTGCTTAAAATGCACATCCTAAAAAATCCTGAGTTAAAGCATCATCATTCCCAGGAGTTAGAAAAACATTTTAATTTTAAGTGTCATTGATAAGAGGAGGTAATGAGGCAGCCACGGAAACGAAACAGAGCGCAGAGAACGTAAACCATCACAGCTGAGCAAATCCAATGAAGGTGAGAAACAACATACCCAGTATCCAATATAAATTCTACTATTTTACAAAACACTGCACAAATTCTAATTGGAACCATTGTTTTTGGTAGAAAGCGGCTCCGTTGAAAACTGCTGGCACTGTATTCTGTGGATTATACAGAGCAGCAAGGAGGCTGGTTTTGGACGACGTGATTTTTCTTTTTTCGTGGTAGCTTTCTATGCTTTGGGCACTACAAACCGAATTACATTCACCATCTTTGTTTTGGGGCACTTGCAAAAAATGTCAAGGACAGATATCTCAAAACCTGAGTGAATTAAACCAAAGCTATCTGAGAACACAGATGCACAGTCACTGGAGGTAAGTGGAGAAAAAAAAAACAAAAAAAAACATGCTTTTCCGAACTGTGTAATTCAAACCCTTAGGTGTAGGAGGAATGTGCTCAAAACTCATCGTTCTTGGGACGATGTGGTGTGATTAATGGTCGGAGGAAATGAAAAATGCCCTGAAATGGAGATCTCAGTATTTAACATTCTGATGAATTTGGTAGCAGTGTTAAGAACAGTCTTGGTGCTGTGAGGGGATCTTCTCTAGAGATGGCTTCCACAGCCAAATCTTTGAAGAAGATGGCTGCATGTTAACCTAGGTTACGAGCCAGGTCTCGGTAGTAACTGCTGGAGGCTTGTGTTGCTGGCAGACCAGAGCTCATCTACAAGCATTCAGGCACTACTGTCTCAGATTTTAGTCAGATAAAAACAAAAAGACAGAGTAGCGTTCTGTATTGAAGCAAACAGAAATGTGCACACGTCTTTTTAACCCTTCTTGCAATTTAAATTAATGTTAAGAATATCATTGTCAAAGCAAAAGGATTTAAAACATGCCTGAATGACAGGTTTCCTGAGTAGAAACACAAAAGCTTTGTCAAGTTGCAGTTCTGTGATACACGTGTTTTTCAATTAAAATAAAATCACAGTGGGTTTTGATTTTTTAACAGGGTGCTAAAAAAGCAATCTAAAAGATCATCGTTGCAGCAGAACTGCCAACTGGGTGAAAAGCTGTCTTGAAAGTCCCACATTGTTCCCAGCAAAGAAGGTTTCCAAATACGGAAGGCTGACATGCAGATATGGCCACAGGGTGACGGCTGAGTAACTGAATTAGAATCCCATTTCCTCATCAATCATGTGAAGAGCCTGTTTTGCTCTCTGCTCAATAACCAGAGGATATATATGCCAAGTGTGGTGCATCGTAAGGATACTGTCAGCCTCCAGGGAGGCCAGCTGGGTAGAGAAGATATCAACTGAGAGCAGGAGGAGGAGGAGGTTGGGGAAAGGAGAGGTGGATTTGTTGGGGGAGAAGCAGGGAAAAGCATTGGCTAAGTATGTGGAAAAAGGCTGCAATTAATTTTACATGCTGTACTGTATTATCTTACGGAACCCCAATTGGAAGTAGCCAGCTCGTCCCATATCCTTAAATAAAACCACGACCGACTACGTTATTAAAATCCATTTTGGCATTTAATCTTTCTCCACCCTTTTCCCCCCCTCAGTGTTTTCATTCGACACTCTGCAGATGATGCTCCAACAGAAACAGTGCCTTTTTATATCTGATCGATGTTAATGCACTTTATGACAGTCAGCGGGCTGGGCGGTGTGTGCACAGGCCTTAAGGGGATATCACGGTCTGACCTGATAGTAGCACGTCAGGATTTAAAGCAGCTGTCTGAGCTCTACTCACTTGCTAATGTACTCCACCCAGCAGCCTCGCTGTCGTTAATATAAAAAGGGGATCTGTTTTTGAGATCATAGCCACACTAGTCTATGTTATGGTAAATAGAAGAGTCATTGCAATGATTACCATTGGCAGGAAATATAAAAAATGATTCTGTGTAATCAATCAAACTGCTACCAGAGCAAAAATGAGGAGAAAAAATAATCTGTTGTAATTTTTTTGGCCTTCTGAAAAAGAAAAGGTCATGTTTTTTTTTTTGTTTTGAATGAAGACGAGCCCTGCAACGCAGTGATGGAGCCGATTATACAGGATCAAGTCTGTGCCAGTCCTCGATTACGTGTGTGTGAAAATGTGCACATGGTCAAATGTTTCACTAATACTTGTGAACTTATTAAATATTCAACACTTTGATAGAGTAACATGGATGAGGAGACTTGCATACAGGTTGGAGCTCAGGTACTCGATGAATACTGCCCAGTGACCTAAATTGTTAGGAGCATTGGCATTTGCCTGTCTTTGATTTTCAGCTTTGCACATGGTTGTCTGAGCCAGCTTTGATGTGAGCTGCTCTATGCAGCAAAACCCAAGACTTATTATGCTCTATATGAGTGTGACAGAAATGGTACCTCTGGATAAGTTTATATTCTATTCAATCCTGTTTACTCAAGTAACTTTATTCAGTTAAGCCATATTTGTTGGTTGGTCTAGACTGAGCCGCTATTCTTTAGTAAATTTTACAACTGTGGCGCCCAAAAATGGAACAATTCAGGATTACATGCTTCTCAACATCAGAGGCAGAACCAGTAATAAGGAACTCAAATGGAATGGTATATTTTCAGAACAGTATTCAGGGAAAGAGATATCTTCTGCCTAAGTTTCCAACAAGAGCAGGGTAATCTGGTCATTTAATTAACAAAGCTTTGATGACATTAACCTAGCTGGTTTGACTCAAGCCCCACATTTCCTCAGCAGTCTGTATCCACTTGACAGCTGTAATCTTAGCAGAGTAAGACATTTGAAAGTTTTCTATCTAGACACATTTCACAGCAAAAACATGAAACTACACTGGGGCACATATCTCTTCAGCTGCTTAAATACAATACTGCAGGATATTCGTATATATTGCTGAGGAAAACTGTTTTATAACGTATTACAAAACATCTTCATCTATTCAAATGTAAAAATCAGGCAAAGTTCAGTCTGAGAGGGCTCAAAGGCATGTTAATGCTCTCATTTTATCATTTCACTGTTTCACATGGTTGCTTTTTTATTTCACCATTTCCAGCAACGAGGAAATCTCCTTGCACTAGTTACCATATATGTTATGTTTGTCGCTAAATATTCATTTTGCGTTTTTACTGGCTTACTAAACAATCTCTTAAATGAATCCTTGCCAGAGGCAGATATATGGTAGCCTACACATATGCTAATTAAACAGGCGTTGGGGAAGATGTCAGCAATGAAACATCAACTCACATAAGTGAGCGGGACTGCAGGAAGCAGTATCAGTGGTGCAGGGCCCAGATAACGCAAGACTTCTGAAGTTGCAGCTTTGCTGATATGACACCTATCACAACATGTGAGAGCAGAGACAATGACACAGTCAGTTCAACTCAAACACTTCTTATGGCGAGCCCTCATTGGCACACAACTAAGGCGTTTCCAAACAGACACTTTATTAAAGGTGCCACCTTGAAACAGCTAAAAAAAATGTCTCTGTTTTCAGTCTATCTGTTCAGGAAAAAGAGGTGTTACAGTAAAGACAAACCCTTGCATGCTGAGGTGCTTATATCCTCGACTCTGTGTAAAAAATGCTCCTGCCATTTTTACAAATATCAGTAAATAAGACTGATTCAGAGTCAAACTGTTGACATATAGGTGGTGTTTACTAATGCATGTGAAAAGCATACTTTGACTAACACTTTATTCCTCTTAGACGCTCGGGGTTGCTTGCACTTTTTGCGTTGCCGTGACAACCAAATACAAATTTTCTAATTTGTTGTCGTGCGAGTGTTTACTTTCCACTTTTCAGTGGCAAGAGAAAATGACCCCCCTTCACAATCCAAGAGTTCCCACTTACCAACTGGCTTCCTTTTTCCCTTCTTCCCCTCCACTTCTCTGACCATCTTCACAGTCTGATACAAACGGCTCTCTATTTAATAACATAGCGACGGCATGCCACGAGCCTTCGTTACCCAGACAACTAATGACAAGAAACAGAGACTGAACTGACGGGAAGACAATAGGCGCCGTGCTCAAAGTGACTAAGAAACACAACTGTTTACAGTGTAATTGATGAGTGCAGCACAACTGACAATAACCGTCCCAATGGATTTGAAATTCTAACCCAAGGAACAAAACACTGAAAAATTCTGCAACAAAAACTAAAAAGATTTAAAAATGCACAAAAGCAGACACCCAGGGGTCCGTGCTACTACAAATATCTAATTAAAGTTTGTTTTTTTTTGCAGCTGGCAACGATGCCAGGTAAATCCGTTATGATATGACAGGAAGGCGAGGGAAGCAAAGCACAATGCTCTTTTATGCTCTTATAAGCAGCTCCTTCATTAAAGCTGCCATCAGGCGCTATCGTGAGCACTCCAGCTACTAACTGCATTTTAATAGTAAGTAGCTGGAACTATTGCTGCACTTAAGCCGCAGTTATACTGAGCCTCCAGGGATTTGGGAAACATCTCTGATGCTGAGCTCGTTTTCTCCATTTTAAGCCAACAGCTACCAAATCAAATCATCAGACTTGTAAAACACGTAAATGAACGAATGAATTGTGTTTCATTTGAGCATCGTGCCATTTTGTGGCCCATTACACATGGGCTTATAAGACTGTACACCTTCCAACAAGGAAAACAACTTTCAACAGGCTGGTCATATGGTGACTCAAATAATCATTACAGAAAGAAAAAAAAAAAACTAGATCCATGAATAAATCATCATAATCATCCATTCATTACTGATACTCACGGTTCTCTTCCTAATACAGCATAAATCCACACATAATGCTAATTAAAGGGTCTTTTTTACAACCATATAAGTTGCTGTAGCAAACAAAGGATAACACACTTCCCCATAAACAGGAAAGCTAAAACACTAGCTAATTTACTCATATCTGAAATTACCCCCTAAATGGGACAATGGAGAGGCTGCAAGGTGCCTCGCAGCAAGAAGGTCGCCAGTTCACATCCCAGTGAGGACAACCGGGATCTTTCTGAATGGAGTCTGCATGTTCTCCCCGTGCAGCGTGGGTTCTCTCCGGGTTCTCTGGCTTCCTCCCACACAATCCAAAAACATGTTGAGGTTAATTGGTGATTCTAAATTGTCCGTAGGTGTGAATGTGAGTGTGCTTGGTTGTCTGTCTCTAAGTG